CCTGACCTTGCGTACCCTCTTAGCATCATGGCTCGCTACGTTGCGCCTGGGAGACACCGGCGAGAGCACTGGGAGGCTACTAAGAGGGTGCTGCGCTACTTGTGCAGTACATCAGGCATGGGGCTGGTGCTTGGAGGACGGGGTCCAGTTGTTCTTACTGGACGCCTCTTGGGTTGACAACCTGGCTACGCAGCGGTCGTCACAGGGTTACACCTTCAGCCTTGGTTCCGGCTCTGTTTCTTGGCGGTCCACCCGCTCGTCTTCTGTTCTCAGCTCCAGTTGTAAGGCTGTGCAGGAGTTATGCTGGCTCACCTACCTGTTGACCGACTTGGGAGAGCGGCCTCGTTCTCCTCCAGTTCTGTACGTCGACAACAAGGCCGCCATCGCCTTGTGTCAGGAGCACAGACTGGAGCACAAAACAAAGCACATCGCTCTGCGTTACTTCCTTGCTCGAGAGCTGCAGCAGCGCGGCCAGCTTCGTCTTGCTTACGTGGACACGCGAGCCGACACAGCTGATATATTCACCAAGGCACTTCCGCCTGGTGATCATCAGCGTCACTGCACTGCTTTAGGCCTCGTGCCTACGTTTTCTCACTTGCTGTCTACTTGCTCTCTACTTGACCTTGCTTGTACTGTGATCTTTCTCTCTCTCTCTCTCTCTCTCTCTCTCTCTCTCTCTCTCTCTCTCTCTCTCTCTCTCTCTCTCTCTCTATATATATATATATATATATATACCTGCATGCTTACACTTGCTAGGTTGTGATCACTGTACTGTTTGCTCTCTCTTATATAACTATGCATGTGAACTGGCCATGTGGCCCTGTGCTTGTGCTCGGAGTGTGTGGTGACGTTATGATCCACCCTGAGCTTGCTTTGCTGTTTATGAACAGTGCATTACAAGAGAGGTTGCACAACGGCGACATAGGCCTTATTAAATCGTGGTAGACGCAGCCTACCCACTCAGAGATTTCTGCCTGACTCCCCTACATGCACCCAAAGAGGGCCTAATGGAAGACTGGGCGAATTGCTTCAACTACTACCAAAGCGTAACGCGCATGGCAGTAGAGCGCTGCATCGGTGCCTTCAAGGAAAGATGGCGACTATTCGCGGGCCGCAACGTCTGCCAGCTGTGGCGCGTGCTGGCGGGTGCGTCTTGCTGCGTAATCCTGCACAACATGGTCGAGACAATGGGACAGGTGAGGCGCGTCAATGAGGTGTGGGCCTCATTGCCACGAAACCGTGACCCATGGTGGACAAGAGGCGCGGTGGCCGAATTCAAGTGGGAGCCATGTGTCCCTTTGACACAAGCAACACTTAAGGAGAGGCGCAAGCGGCTAGGTGAGGCGTTGGAGGTGTCTTACCTTACTCGGCGTCGCCGCGAACCCACACTTCCTCGGCCTCATCCGGGTTAGCCTCAGCGTCGCCAGTCTGCCCGCGACGGAACCATCCGTCGTCGCCGCCATCGGTGGCGCTCGGGGTCGTCTGGGGGGGAGCGTCCGCGGTCACACCGTTGCGGGCATGTGGAGCGGGCGTAGACTGCTAGAGGCGTTCGCGTGCAAGTCGCTCGTCCTGCTGCATCCAGGCGCGGACAAGTCCTTCGAGCTTGCACATCGCGTCATCGTGGCAGCCCTTGATCGTCTCACAGACGAGCTTCGCGGCGGCCATGGTGGCCGTCTCCGCTACGCACGGGCGCTTGGAGGGCGGGGTGCACTGCGGGGGAGAAGCTGAACACGCAAGGAATGACAGGGGTGGTTGGTTAGGGTCCATGTGTGTACGGCATGGTAAGCAATGTATGATGTTCTATTGCGTACTACAAACCAACCAGCACAAGTTTAGGCGAGAGGTACAGAAGCAATGTCAATGTCACAACATCACACGATGCGGAATCATACACGGTTCACGCACCTGTGGAGGTCGGTCTAGACGTAGTGGGCGTCGACGTAGAAGGCACCGAGAAGCCGCACGGCGCGTTAACGTTTGTCGCGCCGCCAACTGGCACGGCATGCGGGTTGGCGACGGCCCTATTGTTCACGAACAGCTCCATGTACGGGAACCACGGGGGCTTGCACACGGTACCCTTGCCCGACGCCTTTTTCGCCTTCTTGAGTTGCTTGTAGAACTGGACGATGTTGTGCCACTGTTTCTGGATGGCGTTGACGTCACGAACCCACCCCGGGTTCTCCTTCTCCAGGTGATTCACAAGGCGCGCCCAATACTGGGAGCCCTGCTTCCCGAGCAGGGACTCGAGTTCGTCCTTCATGAACCAGCGGGCCGCGACGAAGATGGTGTTCTCCAGCGGGGACCAGACGCTGCGCTTCACAGGCATCTGGTTGCGGGTCTTTGGAGCGCGGCGTGGAGGTTCGCCACCCTTAGAGGCGGTGGTAACAGGGGCTGTGGGCTTAGCACGGCCGGCACGCGTGGTCAGAGCTGCGGGCCACATTTCTTCCGGTGCGTCAGCATCATCCTCGGACTCGTCGCCCTCGCCGTCGTCCTCTGAGTCGGACATTCCCTTGTCCGGCTCCTCCCCCGAGTCCGCCTCGTCGTCGATACCGACGGCGTACTCGTTGTAGTCGCTATCGTCATAGTCCTCGTTGTCATGGCCGTTGTTGTCAATGACGCGCGAGGACGCAACTCTGTCGGCGTACCGACGTCCGCGCGTGGGCACGTCACGAGGCACTTCGTACGAGGTGGCTCCAGGAGACGGTAATCCTTCAGGCAGCGGGCCGGCGGGCTTGCGCCCCGCCGCAATCTGCTTGTGTATCCATGCGATGTACGGGATCTCATTGAGGTCCCGCGGGACGTCGGTAGCAGCGTCAGCTGCGGTCTTGCGCTTCCTAACCATGGCTGGCAGAGAGAGAAGTTCTGGAGATACGGGAGAGAATAGGTGAGAGTAGATCTGGACAGGAGACGGAAAAGAGATTGATTTGGGTGAGCTCTTGGGAGGGTCTGGAAGTTGGGGTTCGGATGGCGGGCAGGATGGCATTGCTTGCTGTCGTGGAAACCACTCGATTGGATACACGGGCAGGGCGGTTGCTTTTCCCGCCCGAAACTGTCACATCCTCGAACGTCTAGATGCATGCGTGCGAGTCGTGGGAAGGCTCGACATTTCGACACGCATGCGATTTGCAATGTGTGACGGGGCCTCGTACAACTCGTCCGCGATAGTACCGCAATTTACGCTGTCCAATGATAAATACAGTACAAGTCGCACTAGTGCGGTCCGCGTTTCTGACATTGTACGTTATATGCTGTTTTGGGGTGTCACAAACCGTTTGAGACACAAATGTCGACACAGGAATGTACCCTTACACTTTGTTTTCCCCAAACCTCGAGAACTTCATCCAGTCCACATCCCCTTCTCTATTCCACCTCACTGCACCATACCCCTGCCTTTTGCACACCTCCATTCCCGCCCCTTTCCCCCACTTCCCCACCACAGCCCCCAACAAGCTTTTCTCCGTCCAGCCCCCTCTCCCTGCCCCCAGCACCTTCGTGCATTGTCTTTGTCATCCCTGTTCCACTCCGTACCACCTCCCCCCTTCCCTCCCAGCTTCTCCCTATCTCCACCCACATGTTCCCCCACTTCCCTGCCCACAACGTAATTCCTCAACCCCCCCTCCTGCCTTCCCCACTTCCACTCTGCCCTCCACACCTCTACGAGTCGTACTTCCCCCTCCAGCCTCCCTTTCCCCCTCAGCTGCTCCCGTATCCAGCATGGGCTGCACCTCTGCTTCCCATCCCGCCAGGCACTTCGGTGACCCACCTGCCGCCACCTGGCAGCACACCGCCCTTCCCACCCCCCGCCAGGCTCTACACCCCTTGTCCCTGCTCCCTGTGCTGTCCAGCCCCCTACCACAGCCTCCCTCTACCTTTCCCTGGCACCAGACTGCCTCTCCATCCCCAATGAGGCTCTACCCCCTGCCCCTGCCCCTTGTGGCTTCCAGCCCCCTTCCCCAACCCCCGTCAGTCCCCCCCTTCTCCAGTACCCTCCATATCCCCACCCCCCTGGGGCCTGCCCCTCCGCTATTATCACCCTCAACCGTTTCCCCAATCCCCTCTGACCCCTGTTTTCCAGCCCCCCATTTTATTTGGCATTTACCACAGCTCTTCTTTTCGGTGCCCTCTCTGCCCATCCACGCTCTCACCTCCCGCCCCCCAACCTCCTCATTACCCCCCTACCAGGCTCATGCCAGCTCGACCACCCGTTCCCTCGCCAACTACCCCTTGCCCCTCCCCCTCTGCCCTCCCCCCTTCCCTCCCCTTTTTGCCTCGCCTGCTTATCCCAACCTCCCATTGAATTCTGTTACGCCCTCCCCACTCTGGTCACACCACCCTTCCCCACACCCTGCTCACCCCCCGCTACCTCACCTCCGCTTCCCCACCCTCCCTTCACCCTGCCAACACCCCCTCTCCCTTCTGTCCCCCAGCCCGCCCCCCCCTTGGTCCCCCATCCCCTCCAACTGTCTACCCCCTTTAACCTTCTCTTCAGCCCACCTCGCACCCCTTTCTCCACCCTCTTCCCCTTTTTCGAACCTACCCCCCCTCACCCCGGCCTCTGCTAGGGACTCTCTACCCCCTTTGACGCCCTTTCCAGCCAATTCCAGCCACCCACACCTCCACCACCAGGCATGCTGCTCCCGTAACAATGCCCCAGCACCCCGCAAGTGGGGGAAAGGCAGACCCGGGAGCCCCCCGGCGATCTGGGAGGGCCCGCAGCAGAGCCACCCCCTACGCACCCACTCCTCCCACTTCATCGGACCCACTCCCCCACTTCAACGGTTAGGAAGAAACAACCCACTCCTGACCAAGCGAAAGCACTCGAACACTTTGACCCTAGGGGCCAGAAACGAACCCTTGAAGAAGATGGAGCGCAGGAACGCCAAGCCCCACTAGAAGAAATACACGAGGAGGAGCAAGCATGCTGAAAACCGCGCCCCAACCCTGCTGCCCCATCCCAGCCTACCCCCCCCTCCAGGTGACAGCAGGGGCAGCACTGGAGCATGCTCAGTGGAGAGGTCCTCCAACTCACTCACTACCTCCCAATCTCGAACCAAAAAACACGTGAAAACACTTAATCCTCCGCGCAACCCCAAGCACATAGAAGTGGGAGAGGGCAGAGCCGGGGGGAAACTTGCAGCAGACACTGCACGGGAAGGGGTAAGTGAGGTTGTGGGGGAAGGGGCAGCAGAGGCTAGACGGAAAAGGGCAGTAGAGGCTGTACGGGAAGGGGCAGGAGAGGCTGCATGGGAAGGGGGAGCAGAGGCTGGAAGGGAAGGGGCAGCAGAGGCTGCACGGAAAGGGGCAGCAGAGGCAGCACGGGAAGGAGCAAGTGAGGTTGTGGGGGAAGGGGCAGCAGAGGCTGCAGAGGAAGGGTCAGCAAAGGCTGCACGGGAAGGGGCAGCAGAGGCTGGATGGGAAAGGGCAGTAGAGGCTGCACGTGAAGGTGCAGCAGAGGCTGGACGGGAAGGGACAGCCGAGGTCGTAGCGGAAGAGCCAGCGGATGCCACACAAGAAGGAGCAGCGGAGGCTGCAGTGGAGAGACAAGCAGAAGCTGGAGGGGAAGGGGCAGCAGAGGCGAGTGCAGCAAGAGGAAGTGCAGTGGGAGGTACAGCAGGGGAGGAGGATGCAGGGGCTGCAGAGCATGGGGGTGGAGCAGAGGTGGGTGCAAGAGAGAGTGCAGCCCCGGCAGCAGTAAAAGAGGGCGCAACAAGGGCTGCAGCGAGGGAGGGGACAGTTGAGGCTGCTCCGGCAGCGGTTGGGACAATAGCTAGGGCAGAAGGCGCCTCCATGGGAGTGAAAAGTGCCGCAGTAGGTGCTGGCAGTGACGAGCCAGCAGGGAACGCAGGCGTAGGGGAGATGGGGGCAGCAAGAACAGGGGAGGTAGGGGGGGATCCTCAAGGGGGGCTGGTGATACTTACAGAGCAGGAGGCACGCGAGGATTTCATGCACATTGACGGCCCACTGGTTGTCTATCTCACACTTGCCTCTGAGGCGGACCGAACTGTGCAAAGAAAGTTTTAGGAAAGGAATTGATGATTAGACTAAGAAGAACAGGGGTATACTTAGTTGAAGGTGGGAATAAGGGTGTATATACAAATACGAGTCCAAATACGATTAGTGTAAACCAGGGCCCAAAATATCAGGATAAAACGCCCTGACTACCCTGAGGGCCGGCCGCTTTTTCAGGATTACCCTGCCAAAATCAGGATTTCACGATTGTTACACTTCTGCAAAACGAGCATGTTTTTTTTTACACTGATTGGATTTATGGTTAGCCTGACGGTGTCAGGGTAGGGTGTAGACTACCCTGATACCGAAACTTCTTTACCACGGATCAGGCCATATTCCGCGTGGTGACAAACTGTACCACACCCACACAAACAGGTGTTGTCGCGTATACACCCTCTTGTTCAACCTTCTCACCTTGCGCGATTCGTAGCTACAGTGCTTGGAGCTAGCGCGTTGGTGATGGTAACTGATTTTGCAGGCAAAGCCGTACCAAGCGACAAACCAGCCACAAGCTTGTCAAGGACAAGCAGAAACGGAACAGTGCACACGACAGTTGTTCCGCCAATTCCACCAGTCGTATGCCACCGCCGCAAATCTGATCACTCGTGCCAGCAAGTTTCCTGAGATCTTGTCAAATCGAGAAAAATTATACAGCCATAAACCAGCTCCCTGCTGACAAATTCGCCACCTGAGCATTCTACACCCTGTCATCATTATCGCGACAAATGTTCTTGTACCGTATGTGATAGCACCATTCTGAACGTGGTGACGTTCTACAACCAGCTCTGGTTCCACAACCAGATGCTCTGCTAGCGCGAATTAGGGTGTACACTAAAACCCTTCGGGCCCGTCTGATGCGTCAGAAATTTGCTACTTCTGTGTCTGATTGGTCAGACATTTCCAAAAAGCCCTGGCAGCAAATTCGCCCTGGCACGGTGGTTTCGTGCTGTCAGAGCACAGCAAATTCGCCCAATCACACCTTTGCGCTGTCAGAGAGCAGCAAATTTTGCCAATCACAGCAGAATTACCCTGACACAAGAGCAGATTCGCCCTTACACAAGAGATTCGCCCTGTCATATCATGTTTCGCCCAAGCATAGCATAGTATGTCCATTATGTTGGCAATAATATAGTCAATATTCTAATTCTTATATCTCCTGTATAATCTCAAATTCTTAAAAACGTTATAGTTTTCAAATGTATTGTGTGGTTCTGGAGTTACATAACACTCCAGCTTTATTGGTTGTATTGGTGAAATTTAGGGTATTCTCCAGAGGGACCCCATGCAGATGGTTGTGTGCGATTATAGAGGCAATACAAGTCATTAAAAATATCCATTCACAAGTGCTGTTCATGCCCACTCGGTTAAATGTTCACTTTTGGTTTGTGGCGCGAAAGTTCAATTCCTGCCTGGTTCATTGAACACTAACAACAGCTCTCATATAAGATACCTGTTACACCCTAAAACAGTAGCCACACCAAGTCAGATTCCTTAGCATGCTGCAATTACAATTGACACTCCTACAAATATGCAGGACATTCATACAGAAATACTTGACACCAATACTAGCATTAGGAAACAGAACCTCCAAAGACACTAACAGTAGGAAACAACACCTCCAGATAAAAAATTGCATTAGGAAACAATACATCTAGTACATTGCAGCTATGTTTTTCCAAACCACAGTTTTGTTCCAACTGAAGGCTCCTAGAGCTTATTAAAAGAAGAAAGCAAAAACAGCAATGGCATGGCTTGACATACGATGCCAACCTAAAAATGATGCTATATCTATATGAAATCTCTTGAACTCGCACCTAACTAAGCATGCAACTCGAAGTCCAATCTAACTACTCTATGGCGCTTCCAAATCGACAAAATCTTGCCACGATCTCACGCACATGCAAGCCCGCACCGTAGTTGGACTCATGCTATGCCGAAAGTTGGTCATCATGTGCCTTGCCAATGAAAATGCCCTCTCCGAATCCGCGGATGTTCCCGGTATGGCCAAGTAATCACGCGCCATGCGCGCAACAATGGGATAATTGATCTCATTGACGCACTACCATTCCTTGAATGAGGATATGGTTCCACCTCCACAAACCTTAAGCCTCGGCTCACGAAGGTGCTTTGTGAGCTTTTCTAAGGGATCGGTGGGCTCATCATCGTCTTGCACGCTAAAGATCCCTCCTAAGATAGAGGATGAATGTCGATCAGCTTCATTCGTGCAGTTGTTTGTGCTCGAGCTCTCTTCCACATGTTCAACACCGCTCTCTCCCTTCTCATACTCGACATATCGCCTCTTAATGCACTCCTCCACGCTCTCGACACTCACATGCCCGCCTACTTCCGATGCACCCGTGGCGTAGTACCCAAGGTTAAAACGTGGGTCTAGCACGGTTGCCACGGTGTATTCCTCGGAGGAGCGATTGTAGTACTTTTCTAGCTTCTCAAGGCCTTGCTTGCATGCATCGGCAAATTCCCCATTCGCATTGATTGCCGCTTCCAACTTGTCCATGAGTTTGTTCACCAACGGTTTGCACAATGATACCGTCGCGTACTCGAACGCTTCCAAAATAGTAGTCACTTCGGCGAATGGCTCAAGAATCTTCTCGAGTGACTCTAGCGACTTCCACTCGTCATTTCTCATGCGGTAAAGCTTTTCCACGCTCTCACCCTCCTCCACAAGAAATGCGTTAATGGGTTGACGCAAAACCTTGGCCTTTTTCATCATTGCATGGGCGCTTGACTATCGTGTGGGAGTGTCAACCGCAATCGATGTCACATTCCCAACTTTGGAATCATTACATTTTGCCGCAAACCGATCGCAACGAAGGGAAGAGCCTCCAATGTGCGTGGCAAATCCCCGAATCTTCTCAAATGCACATTTGGAGGTAGGTGCTTTCATGATGGTCTCAACAACGAGATTGATCACATGCGCAAAACAAAACATGTGCCGTTCTTTTGAGAAATCGGTCTCTTGTTCAAGGAGACGTAGGAATGCATGGTTGTTGCTTGCATTATCAAGGGTGATAGCCATCACCTTGTCGTCAAGTCCCCAACGAACATGGAGGGAATGGACGAAGGCGTTTTTAATCGCCTTACCCGTGTGAGATCCTTCCATGTGAATGAAATCAAGCAAAATCCGTTGTGACTCGAAATTTTCATCGAGCCAATGAGCGGTTTTTGCCATGAAGGCATCCATGTTGGGGGTCGTCCATATGTCACACGTGAAAGATATTTTGCATTGCAACCCTTGCAAGCGCTTCTTGATTTTTTCCATGTACGCTTCGCATGCAAGATGCAAATCTTTGGCGATGGTGACACGGGATGGCATGTTCACATCGGGTTGAAGCCATTTCACCAAATCTTTCAACTCGGGACACTCAAGTCCACGGAAAGAGATGCTTCTTTTTGCAACAATGCGAACAAGACGCTTTCTATTTTCGCCATCCGAGTAGGGCGTGAGCTTTAGCATGGCCCTTGCGATGTCCCCCTTCCCACCGCGGCTTCCCTTTTTTTTATCCAAACCCGATTGCGCATACTCTTGAGGATGGCAATTCGCAATGTGATCGACCATTGCAGTTGTAGTCCCTCCTTTCCTTGAAATCACTTGATTCACTTTTTTTTTCACTAAGAAGACATTTTGCACTCTTTTTGTCAATCTTTTCATAAAACATCCACACCGATGATGTCAACGTCTTGTTTCTCTTCACTGGCGCCTCGGCATCAACGGTGTCGTCATCTTGGCGGCGCTTAAGAGATTTATCAGTATTTCCAGCAGCACCACCGCTTGTCTCATCGTCACATGCCGCGAAGGACTTAGTTGGGGCAGTTGGGGCCATGAAGCATACTCAACTTAATTTATCTGCTTTACACGTCCATACGTCGGCAACGACCTATGAATCGAGCAGATGATGAATAGATACGGTGTAGCAGCGTATTTTGTCTTGGGATTGTTGAAGAGCTACTAATTATGCTAGAACACTGCTCTCTGTAAAGCAGTTTCAGCTCTCTGGAGTTGAGAGTTAGGCTTGGACCTCTCTGGAGTTGAGAATTCTGGAGGAGTGTCGAATGAGAATTGGTTGGAAATGCAATTGGTAGATTCACATTCGTTTTGTGTGTTGGTTTGCCCGATTTCAGTTTACCCGCTGCCCCAAAATTCGAAGTCTACGCGCCCTTTTTTCCCCACAAATGACACATGTAAAGTCCACGTAAGGTTTACCAGTCTGTTCGGATGATTAACCACAGATTTCGTGGTTTCGACAACAGTACGCGCGGGAGGAATGCGGAGACGTGTTTGTGTAAAAATGGCGCGTTGTTTTTCTTGGCACACGTTTGCGGACCACCTGTTTGAGTGTCAAGGTGGATTGCTCACGAGAAACTCATTGGCTGGAATGTGAAATTCGTGGAAGTAATCTATGACACGTGTTTAAGTTCGATCGTGGAAAAGTGGCTACATGACTTTGCGTCAGTCATCGCCCCGCTGCCTGTCAGGGGCACTTGCTGACGGTAGCCACGCCAAAACTTATCGTGTATTCAAGTGGCACGTGTGGTTCAACGTGCCCCAGAATTGTGTCGGTGGGTTGCAATGGGATGCATACGTGTACCTCAGAAACATCATCGTGTAATTTCTTGGCATCTTGTTCCATAACGTGCCCTGCTGGAACTGACGCATGGATTCGTGGCATACCTGGCTCTGAATTTTCAAAATGTCGTCAGCCACGCTCTCGTCGTCTGTCATACTAGTTTCGCGCGTCAGTAACAGACACAAGTTCTTCATGGGCCACTTTGTGTCTTCCGGGCCAAACGTTGGGTCTACAGTGCTGCGCGATCAATATGCGAGGGTGTACAAATGGTGGTGCGTCAATTTGCGACTTTTTAACAAATCACGCATCCAGGCATTCACGAGGCGCTAGGTGTCAAAATGAAGAATGGATGATGCATTGATGTTGGTTGGGGTACATATAGCTAACCCTAAGTTTTGTACCCCCTAAGACAAACCTCACTATAGG